CGAAACTTCATTCCAAAATGTTTAAATTTTTTTTGCGACTTTTGGATGAATATCCCGCTAGCTATTTGGTTTTTTGTTGTTTGGCAATGCTGATTTGGTTGTATCTTTTGCACGTCGAAACGAATGCAGATCGAAATCGATTAGACATGTACGGGAAAGGGCAAAAAGTGCAAGCACAAAACAATCCAATCGCTTTGAATACCATCAAAGATATTCCGTGGATTGGAGGTAAAGTCGAATTTGATTTTCGCCATTGCAACTCGTTCAAATCGTATTCCAATGCTAATAAAAATAAAAACACATTCTATTTGCCCAGCGTCGATCGAATGCAACAGACTCCCGACAAATATTGAAACAAATTTTGCGGAAAAGTTTTCCACGAACAAGCCGATAACATGGACGGGTTTTTCGAATTGGCCACGACGAATGCTGTTCCAAAATACGGGCTACGATGGTAATTGCATACAAATGACTGTGAATTTCCTTTCCTTCCTTTGTCTCTCACTCGAAAGAGTACTATCGATGGGGAGAGAGAGAGAGAGTGAAAACAACTAATGAATGAATGCATTTCCGTTTGATTTACGCACTGCCAGCTATGAAAATAAAAATAAAAAAAATCGTTCGTTTTTTTTCTGTTGCATTTGTTCCGATACGAAAAACATACAGTCAGAATGACGGCGATCTATAGCGAAGCTGGCAACATTCCATTTGTTTCGGGTGATGCGGTTGGCGCGAAATATTTGTTCAGTGCGATACGATTTTTGTGGCATCGGAAAATTGCAACACAATCGTCATCTAAAAACATTGTGCATGCAGTGAATGGACGGGTGTTCGATATGGAAATGCAGCTGCTCGTCGAAAATGAAAACAAAAACAAGCCGAATAGATTCCTAATTTTCTCATGGTTTTTTGCTGAAAATAAATCAAAGAATTACTCGCTGGAGCCGTTGTTGAAATGCTTGAAATACATTCGCCAACCGAACACAATGAAAACAATCAGCAAGCCATTTCCATTGGACCGCATTGTTTACCAGAGCACCGGTGGTTTCTACGGCTACTGCATTCAACGTGATGATAATGCTGCACACTCAATTCATCATCAACTCATCGAAGCAAACCATTTAATTCCGATCGGCATTACACAGTTGAGTGAATTTCACAAATTAGCTCATCACATCGAGTGCTCAATGAACGAACGCGTTCGAATAGAAAATCATAGTTCGAATACTATCAAATTAGTGGAGTATTTAAACGGAGCATCGAAACGATGACTATTCACACGCAAGCTGTGATTGATGTGTATGCAAAGAATTTTGTTTATTGTTGTTCTTGTTGATAAACAGTCATGTATTCAATGCAACGATTGAAATTTGGCAATTTTGAGATGAAATATTTTTCAAAGATTTCCACATGATGGATGCATTCACTCACTGCTAGCTGTTCGGCATTGTTAGAATTATCAGAAACATTTTTGCAATAAATTCCGTTCGTTTTAAAAACTTTTCCGTTCGGAAATTCCGACAATGCTGTTTAATTAAACGGTTTTTATCCGCATCGAAAATCAGTGAAATTGGCCGTAATTTATGTGCGTGCAATGAATATTTCAATAGGAAAATATAAATATATAGGATGCAGCTATCATCTATCAGACCGCTTTGCAATAACAATAAATGTAATGTGTTATTTATACACACACACATACAAGTTGCGGAGGATATACGCGATCATGTGCCAAGTTAACCCACCGCACGTACGCACTCGTCTATGGATTTGTCAAGGGTTTACTACACCAAACAATGTATAAGTCATATTTTATGGCATTCAGAGTCCTCCCTCCCCACCGCCTCATAAAGTCACACTTGTTCATTTCCGACATCCGATACCGAAAGGCGATCAATGAGCTCACTGAAATGCATCGAAGACTTTTTGCACTCGGCTCATTGTGTTGCAATTGATGGTTTGTAAAAACAAAACAATCTCAACTAATGCTTGGCTTTTGGAAAGAAATTCGAAGTTTCCTCGTCCATTTTCAGGCAACTGCTTTTTCCTCGATGGCATTTAATTGAAAGGAAAATGTACAGTTCCATGTTTTCCCTTGTTTGTACCACAAATCCGATTCTCCCAAGAAAACTCTTCTTTATTGTGTTTGCCAGCTCTTCGGCCGCTCATTTTCTCTCTCTTTCTCTGTCCCTGTCTCTGTGTCTTTGTCTCTGAGTGTCTCTTTTTTACAGCTTATCAAAATTGACATGCGAATGATTTAATCATTTGCCTTAACGCCCATCACAAATGTGCACTCAGAATCAAGCTACATTTTATTTATCCGAGTGAACATCAATCACATTTACATGGTGCGTTCCCAGAGTCCCGGTCTAATACGATAAGCAGATGAAAAAGGCAACATATATAGGACGGCAACATATATATGAAGAAAATCATTTCACGTTTGCAATGTTATCGAATGCATTTTCTCTAATTGAATTTGCTTGTTTTTTCGACGGAAAACAGGAAGTCAAGAGGAAGGTAACTTCTCTAAGTTAATGCAACATCCAAGTGAATGGGGACTTTGTACATGTGAACGTGCTTCCGTGACTCGGAAAAAAAACACACACACGTCAGATGCTTTTTCATTCGGATTAAATCGACAAAGTCAATATTTCATTGCTTTTATAGCTGTGCCAAGAAAATGTGATTGAAATCCAAACTTATTGAGAGCAATCGAGAAAAGTCGTATCATCAATATAAAATCGATTGAAAAGAGAGTAAATTCAAGTCGGTTATCATGAAGACATCATCAAATTCCATTTATTTAGATATAATATGTCATATATGACAAAATGTAGCATTAATGATGCTATCATGGACACACCAATGCATGTCGGTTTTGCTCTTCGTCGTAATTACTTGTTTTTCTAGCCAGAGCGTACACTATAGACACACCACATTGCATTTGAGGTCAATTCATGTTAGTGACCGACCAACATGCATATGTATACGTATTTGTATCTACATAAATGAAGGTGTCTATTGAGCGACCGGCCGACAAACTGAACTGCACTCAACTATCGTTTAGAATGAACCGATGCTGGTGAAAATTAACTAAATATATTTGAACAAAAAAAAAACGTAGCAAAAAACCATAGAATAGTTTCCATCTGCATGGTAACCATGTCCAGTCAATGCATTTTCTATGCTTTTTTGTGTTCGTCTATTCTGTTTACCGATAAATGGATAAACATTGCTATTGAAAGTTGGAACAAAAGCAGGCGGCGAGTATTTTATAATCGCAGTGTTGATTAAGGATAAAAAATAACAAAGTAAAAATGCCGAAGGCACCATTGCTCCAATCCTCGTTTTTGTACAATATTTCTCTATGGTTATTCGATGAGAATGTTGCATGAATGGCAGAGCTGCTGCTGCTGATGTTTTTGTTGTGTCATAGTGTAGCTGAGAATCATTGTGAATGAGGCGATTGGAAAGAGGGCTGCAGCATCCACCATGTTTACGCTCCATGATTATAAGAATGAATGCGCAGCGAACAAAATAGATAAACGTTGATAATTCTCGTGCATTGCAAAAACTAAATTATCCACATTGTCCGATAGTGAAATTAGTACGAGACTGAGTGAGTGTGTGTGTAGTGTTCTGGAGTACCACTACATTTGTTTACAAGACCTCCCTTTCTGTTTCAAGTTGTGTGAGCGAGTCAACATGGGAAAAATCCAGAGAAGATGCTGTTTGAATACAAACAATTGATGGCTTTTTATAAGCACTAGATTGTCAGATTCATTGTTGTGTTGCCGTTGTTAGGGAATGTTTATCGATAACAATATAAGGATCATTCGCATCAGCGGAATTGAATTGAAATGAATTGAATCGAAGAGTTTGACAACGGGAATTGAGGCTTTGAGTGGTGCAAACAAAAAGCAGAATAGTAAAACGCACGGAAACGGTGAAAAGTCACTTTCGTTACAGACTCTCTCTATCTCCCTCCCGAACGACGGCAACGGCTGCAGAGCACATCCGTTTGTAGGGCACTTTTCAATGGAAAAATGAGCACAAGTCAGTAGAATAACACATAATAGCGATGGCTTATCGCTTGTCTCCCATGACGAATACCATCCAACCGGTTACACTGCATTCAGCCGGCTGGCAATGAATTAACAATTCACAACTACTGCATACACATTACACATGTTTATGGCATCGCACACAAATTTACACATCCCTTGGAACAGATCAGTATATGTGAAATGCCATTATTTGATTTTGTCGAAATCGGCCATAAAAAAGAGAACGGCTAATTTTGTCCGAGCACATGACGGTTATGTATTTATTATCAGGTGATTTCATTGAAATGAACGGATGGATTGTAGGATCGGATGGATTGTAGGTACAAACTTTGGACACACTATGCACGACAATTTTTAGCCAATAAGCTTGTGTACTTCAACATACAGAGAGAGAGAGCGAGAGCGCGTGTTCTCATTGAAATTCAGTTCGAGTTTGTTGCCGAGTTTGAGACACAAAATATTGTTTCATAAAATTGTGCACAAAAGCACCGCAAATTTATCATTGGTTTCGCATTCAGCAAAACGTACAAACGATTTTTCATGCAGCCAAAGCTGAAACGTCGACAAATTCCGGACCGAATGTAAAATCGCTCGCAAGCATTTCTCTCTCTCTCTCTTTGTGTGCAATTACACCGGCATTGACAATCGTTCTGGCAACAGCGCAAGCCGCACACACAGGTATTTTGTACAGAATGCATTTTTCGCTCTAAATCAGCTTTTCGCAGCATTCAGCACAAAAACGATGACATTTGTTGTTCTCCATAGTGTGTACACCAGCAAACGAAAATATAATGGGATCAATTTTTATTTTGAAAAAAAAAAAACACCAAGAATTACTTTCACTCCCAATTTCCGCGATTAGGCTTTGGCTGATTGGCCTAATAGAAAAAAACCACTAACCTAAAAGATTTTCCATTTTGAATTTTACAGATGCCGTAATAAAATCAACGCCATTTTTTCTCATATCCGGATTCATTCTAGTTGTTAGCTACCTTATTCTGATGGTGGCAATGTGCTCGCAACGGCACAGCGTTCTCTTCTTCTTTTCCGGAATTTTTTTCATCATTGCAGGTAAGCACCTTTCAACGATTAGACTTGGATTTTTCCAGCCAATTGAATGAGCAAGTGGCCCGGTTTTTTTTCTTTCCCTATTTTTAAGCGAACGGAAAATGCAATCAAGAGTAAAAAAGAGTTCAAAAGCCCTTTAATAACAAAAGCCATGCATATTTTCTTCTTTGGCATGAAAATTATTTAGGTTTGATAATGCTAATTGGAATCATCATGTACATTTCACTCTTTAAATCGGAAATCGGATCAAAATTGCGACCCAGATCGATGTTTCAGACGCCATTATTCACCTATCGGTATGGACACAGTTTCATTCTATTCATAGTCGGATGTATTTCAGCTGAAATCGTTGGCACTTTGAATTTTTTCCTCTTCATTCAAATACGTGAGATCGGACGCGAAAAGGTAATCTACCGTAGAATATACGGAATGGGCTTTATTTTCCATCTGCACGTGTATGACGTACATTTTCAATTGGAGCGTGAGAATTAATCGTTGTTTGAATTATCTAGGCAATTCCGTGCTTCATGTACGCCAGCACAGCAAAAGACGAGCCAGACGAAAAACGAATTAATCCCATTGGACAGGAATTTAAAGCGCCGCCGCCTTTTAAATGTCATAAGCATCCGACCATTCCGAAAGCATTTTTCTCGCCGCATACACAGCGCCGGTGAGTTCTTTTCTATTTCGTTGGCAATTTCTAAATCTCTAATCTGCGTACTATGTTCTAATTGACATAATGGCCATTTTTGGTGGCAGGTATTTTTTCGAAAAGCCCGTACCGAAATGCGATGCAACACAAAAAAACTTGGCGAAGAGCTTGAATGAATTGTATACGGAGCCAGCGCCGGGCACATTATTTCCATACGATTTGCCGCATGAATTCCCATTAACACGCAGTGTATCCACCACAACTGACATATTTTCCAATTGTTCGGGCGGTTTCAACTCGGCAAACACTAATTCGCACAACCCGCTTCGCATGTATACACCGCAACTGAATAAGAGATCCATGAATCGACAACAGCTACAGGAATACGCCATGCAAAATCGTGACTATAAATCAATTTCACGAGATGGATCCCACGATAGTTTGAATGATACGGGCGGCATGGCCGTAAATAAAGGCATTCTGACAAATCGTGAAAAATCCAAAGATGAACTGTTCATGGAATTTTGCCGGAAAGCCGGTCAACGGCCGAAACCGAAGGATATTTACTACATTGATACGACATACGATGGGGCGGCCGAAAAGGACGTATTTATTGTTGAGAATTATGCGACCATTCGAAAGAATCGACGTAACTCAAATCTCAGCGGAACAAACCAAAAGGTAACCAACGTCTATAATTCAAATCAATCGCTAAAGGATTTGAATAACTGTAACGGTGGTGGTGGTGGTGGTGGTGTTAAAAACTCCTATCCGAACAATTTATTCGACACAAACAGTTTTGGCGGCAGCACCGAACGGGCGGCCGTATTACTAAATGGCTCGCGGGACAATTATTTCTCGAACAGTCGAATTAACTCACGTGACTCTAATTTGTATGCGAGCCGCACACTGCCACGCGATTTCCTTAAGAGAAACATTGACTACGATGTAGATGAGTTCTCTAATCGGCGCATATCAGCTTCAGGTTTGTACACGCCGTACAATATGAGCATGACATTACCGTTAACAGAAACGGCGACTATTTCGGCGCCAAAGGAATTTACTGATCCCACCACCGATTATTATAAAAAATCTTATGATACGCTCGCCTCGCGCAACAGCCGTCAACGTGATGCGTACACAGGGAGTGAAGACACTTTGTCTGTGCAATGGCCAAACGCAATACCCGGTTCACCGGCCAGCTTTTCAAATCGTTTCAATTATGGTCCGTCATTTTCACCGAACACACAACGTAAACCGGTCCAAATGTCTACATTTTATTCGCAACATTTTCCACGTCAAGCCAAACAACAGACACCTGTTAATAAGGTTGCATTTTTCCAACACGAACGCACTTCAAGTGGTGTTAACACTCAATCACGATATAACGATAATGGTGAATATGAAAGTGGCACTCAGACCGGTAATGAGAATGGTAATGGCTCATCCAGTGGTGGCAGCGATGAATGTACCACATTCGATTTAGATCGCATGGAACGCGAACGCCGGAAGTCACACGCAAGCTTATTTGAAATTGAAGTCGATTTCACGAATGGAACACCCGTTTAAAATTGACAATTTTAATTTTTCCCATTGTTTTGTCGATGTCATTTAGCGCACATGGTGTTCATTCCCAATGGTACTTTGCCGCCTCAAACACGTCACGTCATTAGAGCAAATATGCGTTTTATCATTTGATTAGATGTTACCATTTTATTGCGTATATTCATGTATTGAACTGTGTGTCGCCAGATTTCGCACTAAATGCAGTAGAATACATATTTTGCACAGTGAACACATTTTCCCATGGAAATACGGTTTTTCCTTGTGCATTTGTTTCCTAATTACAATCGAAGCCATATTTCAAGTGATTTTTTTGTCTGTGTATCTTGCACTCAGCAATCGAGATTCCTAGCAAAGCGAAATAATAAGCGTTTAAAAAATAGCATTTATGTAAGTGTCGCAATATACCCGGAACATTTTTATTGTAAAAGATAAATACACTGAATACAGGGCAAGTTGATTTGTATGTTTATAAAATATTCAATAATAATGTTACTTATGATTATTGGTGATACCTAAAAAAAATCGTTTTGATCAGTCAACACAATTTGAGTTAGAACCGTTATCATTGAAAAGATTTATTGAAAGAGAAAAAAATTATTATCTATTTAAAATGAAAACAGAGAAAATAGAACAGCAAATTTATTTGAGAAGATTTTCCTATTTTGTGCACATCTTTTGATCGTTTATTTTGATGCCATAACACATTGATATACTAATATATAGACAAATGTCCATTCAACATTTAGATTTTATTCGCACAACGTTGAAGCAACACATTAATTTTGACAAACCATTTTTACCAAATAAAAATTTATGTATAATTATGAGAAACACAACTGAGCTTTGTATTTGTTATTTGGATTTCATTTCAGCTAGTTAAATTTGAAATATGAAAGTTCAATTAATTGAACGAACTGCTGAAAAACTTCTTCAATTTGATTGGAAAATTTCATACGTTTCAATATTTGCTAACTACTAAACACTTTTTTTCACTCTATCAAAATGAAGAGCGCCATCTGTGCGTCAGATTTGTCACGAGGATGGATTGAGTGGAGCAGCTGCTTAACATGTTATAAGCAGTTATAAGGTTTTCATTCGTTCATCGTTTCATTCAAATATAGATAAACAAAGCGATAAAACGAAACTAAATTACGGTCACAATTATAATCTCGGTACATCAGCTGCCTCCGAGGATTTTGTATGAAGAAAGAAAGGTAAGGTAAAGTAAGGGAATACATTTCCATGTTCCATGTTATCATGTTGAATTATTTCATCGCAGAAATAATCAAGTAAAGATTCGATTAATATGAGAAGTTGACGATGAAATCGCGACAGAAGGCAAATAAAAGCAATAAATAAATGGGAGAACTGGATGTGTGTGTTTGTGCTGTGTGTACAAGATGTGTGCTGTGTGCGCTCCTAATGTATAATAATAACAACAATAATAAGCAAGTAATAAATAATAGCGGTGTGGTCACATTATCATTTAAATTTAGCTACTGTTCATCGTCAAGGCGATTTACGCATTTATACATATCCAGCCGACATGTGATACAATGCAACGATAGGGATATTTTAAGAAAGGAAGAAAAAACAGTAGCTGCATCGACAGCATGCATAAATATGGTGCTGTGACGAGCGTCAACATTGTCCTGTTCGTCATAATTTCGTGTCAGATTGATTTGAATGCCGGCAGAATGAGTGATACAGAGAGAAGCACGCAAAAATATGCGAAAATCAAAGGAGAGAAAAAAAATTGCTGTCTGACTAAAATATGCATGCGAAATTGCACGAGCCTAAGTTAAGAGGCGCAGTCCCAGTAGCAATAACCATCATCTTCGTCGTCGTTATCGTCGTCTGTTGTTTTTTTTTTTGTGTCTTCGCTGTTTGGCATTTGTATCTTTGCCTCCGTTTTAGCGGCGTTTCATTCTCGTTGCTTCTGTTTTGCTTGCATATTAAAAGTGGTGTCCGTAACGTCTAATCAGTATGCTGTTGAATAATAAATAGATCAATTTTAGCGTTTATTATATTTTGCATTTTTGATATGCATGCACAGGCGCAACATATCGCGATCCGATCGATACCCGTTCCAATATACACCACCACCACCAACAACACTCTGTGCCGGCGATTGTGTGCTGCTGCTTGCTGCTACTGCTGCTGCTGCTGTTTATTTATCACAAACAATGTATCGAAAATGAGCATTCAGAAGAACACGACCGAGCAAATTATTCATTTTTCGGAATATTAAATACGCGAGCAACGGGACGCTTTTTTCGTTTAGCGGCCAATCTCCTCTTTTTTTGTCCATTCGCTAAAATTTCACCGTTTAAAATATTATGAGTTTTTGAGTCTGATGAACGCAAGCTTTTGTGTTTTTTTTCTCGTTTCTTCTTCGATTGAACGAACTCAAACTTTGAATGTTGAAATTCTTTTTATCGATATCTTTTTTAAGTGCCAACTGCTGGTTAACACGAACGTCTGGCAAAATTCCAACGAGCGATATTCATTGATTGCAGCTCCTTCTCTTACATTTGTGTCCTGATTCTTAGCGATTCTATTTAGTTCAGCATCAGTACTGTAAATATTAATAGCCTTAATAGGCATCGAATGATCATATTTTGCCGATCAACTGCCTATCTGCGGCCATTCGTTTGCATGTGTGATTGCATTTTGACGCTGAAATCAGTTACCCAGCACTTTGCTTGTTTGTTGCGCTCGTGTATGTGTGTGAGCGCGCGCGAAAGATATCAAATGTGTGTATGTTAATAAATCGTTGCCGCAAGAGACCAACTATACATAGCCATGATGTTCAGATTCGATTCTTCGCTGCGGCTGCTCCTGTTGTTGTAGTTGCACTCTTATTCTTTTTCGATTAGTTGATGGTTATCAATAAAAATTACAAGAAGAAAATTAAACACAATATATAGGCAATGAGCAACAGAAGCCAAAAAAGCACACCAACTCCAGCAGCATAAAAACATCATCGACAACAACAACAACAACAACAACAACAACAACAATGAAGTAAGCGCGATCAGCACACCATCAAAGCACCACACCATTGAATAGGTAAACAAAGTATATTTTGTGCATAACATTTTACATAAAAAAACAAAGTAAGAGAATAGCTGGCTCACAATGCTGGCTGTCAGTGTATATGTTCTGGTCACTGTGCGGCACATAACAATCGGCCACTGAATTTCATTATAGATCGCTTTGTTCTTTGCTTCGTTTCGACTGATTTTATTATGAAAGTTAATTTTAATCATCGTTCAATACACGGCCACGGCGACCGATTTATTCCAGAAAAGAGAAACGTTTCAACGAATGTACGCGCGCAAACACAAAAGGAAAATGTGTTGAAAGTGCTTCCATTAATCGATCGGAGTAATAATTGAATTTGTTGGCTCATTTCATCGACGAGAAAAGTAAATGTACGCGGAACATTGCAGCTAATGTTTTTGGGCTGTGCTCAAGATTTCAATAGATTGATAGATGGATGTATTTGATACGCATCGTCCGTTCTCATCTCTCGAAACTATTTAAATGAAACGCACTTTATTCTGTTAATTTTCTCCAGGTTCCATCACATTCATTTCATTATGATTGTTGATTTTTATTTCAAATATCAAGCATTATATTTTAAACAATTTTTTCTTCTGTGTGAGTTATGCAGTACAGAGCTATACATCGTTTCCATACTTTCATCTCGGACCCAAATTTATTGGTAATATTATTCCCTTTCACGTCTGTCAGAACCATGCTGTGCATCACTCGCATGAATATGACCCATTCGAATGGAATCGCACATTGTGGTGCTCCAAGAACATTCCAATGATCGTAAGGGTGCCGCGAGCTCATGTCATAATCAATCTCAACTCTGAAACTCAGTCAGACTAAATTCTTTGGATACTCTCGTGCTTTGTTTCCATATCATCATACATTTCATTTAATTCAAGAAGCTGATGCCTGCCATCCCAAATGTGCTCGACATGAAAATTGCTTCGTCCACCTAATCAATGCGTAATTTTTATGTCGGCTCATGAATATATTAACTGACATGAATGCATCATTCTTTATTAATTTGACGAAAATATCTGATTAGGTGGTTCCTCGGAGACGAAACCATCCTCTGAACGTCTGTCACACATTCCCCTCTCTACCCACCGCTCTCTTTACGATTCACCTGAACTTTGAGTTCCAATGAAACCAGAAGCTGATGCCCGACAAGATTGTTTTTTTTTTCGATTTCTAATTTGTAAACGAAACAAACGTTCCCGATTCAATTGTAAATGATTCTTGAAACCCATTTATGGAACGGTTCACACGATCGTCATTCCGAGAGACCAACCAAAATGAAGATGTTAAACGTGTTTTGATCAATCGACTTGTTCAATAGCAATACACTCACGATTAATGGCTTCAATCGATAATAAAAGATTGTATTTTTGTCCTAACATCCGAAATGAGTACAAATTTCACATTCCATTCGGCACACACATACACACACACTCACACATAAACTAAATATACGTTGGCTACCAATCAATTTGGCTGAATGGTGTTGGAGTTTAGATTATGGTAATTATTGAGCACGCGAAATGATTTTTTTACTCCCGATTTGCAAATTAAGTGCTGCCAACAAGTATAGTAACGCCTCGATAAGTTGAAATTTCATGGTGGTTGAAGTTTAGATTAAAATTAAAATCGATTCATTCATGGATTTCTTGAGATAAGAGAATGAGAACTTGTTCTGATGGGAATAAGACTTGAACTCAATGAATTTGGTGTTGAAAACCCACATTTTTTCCATAATTGAATGATGAGTGACCATTCGTGGTTGCCCATCTTCTTCGTCACATAATTTCACTTCGGCCTATCGACGATCGCCTGTTATTCAAATTTAATCACCCGAAACCATTTACAAAGCACCGCGACGGTCTGATCCATTTGCAGAAGGCGGGAAATTACAAACAAGCTACTTGTGTGCACAATACGCGATCTCCGGTTTGCAATGAAGTAGCCGGAGATTGGATCGAATTTCGATCCAAAATATGCATATACGTTCATTCGTAATTTAGTTCAGAATTGGCTACCGATTATGGCAACCGTTTCGCTTCTACTCTAAGATCATGCATTTCTCTTTATGTTTTTGCTTCAGACTGCCGCTCCTATTTATAATAATAATTATATTTTTTTCATAATGGGATAGCATACACATTTAATTTAACTCGAGCCACACATTCATTCAGCCATTTGATAGCCATTTGATATTCTCGTCGATCTATTGGCGAGTACGTGCCTTAATGCCTTTTACCTTACCACTTAACACTATGTTCGATTGACTTCTGTTTCACTCGATTTCATTTATTTTTGCGCGACTACGGTCGACAGCTCTCATCGGATGGAAAATAGCGCGCATTTCAAAATAATAAATACTGGTGTTCACTACAATCATCATACTGGTGTTCAAATCGCTCAACCGATGAAATGGTGATCAGAACGATCGACGAGATTTTTTTCCCTTTCTCAATGGCCAATCCACGAGTAAATCTCTTTTATGCATACGGTTTGGTTACTACTAATATGCAATGCAGCCAGCACAGCAGCGATTCCTTGTCAATGTTGTATTTCTTTCATTATTCCCAGCTCCTTTTCGCTATTCCACATAAATTTTTCTGTCGTTTCGTCCCAGCCAATTTTTTGTTTCGTTCGTTCGTTTTGAATTACGCTCGCAGTATCTCCAAACGTCATCCGCCGGTTATTATTCCTGCCGCTGTTGCTGCTGTGGTTTTGCTCGCTTTTTTCGCTCGTCGTGTGTTTATAAATTATA